TGAAGGGTCTAGGCCCGAAACGTCAGCCTTCCTGCTCCTATGATGCTGCTTGGCCTGCTGTGTTCATCCAGCTGTACACTTTGTTATCTCTGTGTTTCTGAGTATGCGTGTTAACACCAGGTCTTGTGCACACTGAAGTTAATTGAATGGGTGCGCATTTGTCTTTGAAGTATTTCTATAGAAACTGTTGATATCCCCAGAATTTTCACACGTGAGTGTACGTGGCATTAATTCATTCCATTTGAGTGCACCCTCTTGTGGAATAGGGTGGAAAAGCATTGTCAAAAAGTGTGTATTCTAATTTTTAAAAATTAATTTGAAGTGTGCATGTGTGTGTTTGTGTATGTAGCTGGCAAGGTCAGCACCCACTGCCCTAATGACAAGGTGGTGAGATGAGTCACTTTCTTGAATCTAAATGACCCGTCTTGCTGGGCAAGTTAAGATGGCATTCACATTTTTGAGGATCTGGAGTCACACATAGCCCAGCCTGGGGAAAGGTAGCAGATTTATTTCCCTGCAGCACATTTGTGACAATCTATAGGCTACACAGTCAACATTGCTGATTTATTAAATTTAAGTTCCTTGGCTGCCAACTTTAGATGACTTTTGGTAACCACTGGGCTACTGTTTCCATTTACCTTCAGGAACCTTCACTCTCTGGAGTGCACCATTTATAAGAGTTCACGGAATAGGAGAGAGAGAGATTTACAGTGCAGAAACAGGTGATACAGCCAGAGTGGCTGATGCTTGTGTCGATGCTCCCAAGGAGATTACTCGCGTTCCTCTTCATCTAACTGTATCTGCAGTTCCTTCCTGTATTGTGTACTTATGTGACCTGCCTTTAACAGCCTCTGTGTCTCTTGTGGAGTCTGCACTTTTCACATCGATGTTGTAATCTAGAGCTATGAATAGTGGTGGTAGAGGCATCGAAAGTGTTTTCAGGATCTACCCTGCATTCGCCAACAACCATGGGGGCCTGTTGGAAGGATTTACAAGTTAATGCTGAACCTGTTTGGCTGCATTATGAATGCACCTTTTTTTTTGGTATCCAGCCCTGGAATGGGACTTCTGCTTCAGAAGCAATGATGCTACCCACTGTACTACATGACGTCCTTAACTACATCTTTTCTAGTCTTCCTAGTACCATCTTTTGTCATAGTATCTTCTGGGTCAAAATTTTTATATTGGATTTATTACTGACTACCTTTAATTATAGTCCCTTATTCTGGTCTCCCTGACAGATGGAAACATTTTTGGTTCTTCCTGATGAAACCCTTTTAATAATTTTAAAGATAAATTAGGTCACTCACACCCTTCTCTATAGGAAACAATCTCTGTTTGTTTGGTATTTGCCATCACATGAACCCAGCTGTTCCCATTGTTCCTATGACACTAGAGTAGCGTCCACCTTTATGTTTAATCACACATCTGAAACAGATTGAAGTGACTGTCTCACTCTCCCAGAATCTCAGAAGAGTTATGGCGCACATGGAGGCCATTCAGTCCATCAAATGTATATGGCTCTTTAAATGAGCATCATGACTTGCCTCCTTCCATCTGCCTTTTCGTTATACTCTTGCAACTCATTTCTATTCAAATAATCATCCAATGCTATCTTGAATACCTCAATTAGTCCTGCCTCAATCACACTTTCAGGCAGTGCATTCCATACTCTAACTACTTACTGCGTGAAAAAGGTTTCATTTCTCGTCTCTAGTTGGCTATGCTGTGAAATCGTCAAGTCCATGCCCTCTTGCTCCTATTCCTTTTGTGAACAGGAACAGGTTCCCCCTATCTACTCCATCAAGCCCGCTCATAATTTTGAAAACCTCTGTCAGATCTGCTTTTAGCTGCTTCTCTCCAAAGAGAACAGTCTCAGCTTCTTCAATCTGTCCTCATAACTGAAATGTCACATTCTTGAACCTCTTCTGTACTGTCTCCACAGTATTCATATCCTTCCTAAAATGTGTTGCCTAGAACTGTACACAATATTCCAGCTGTGATCTAATCAGCATTCTATGTGGATTCAGCACATCCTCCCTGCTCTACAACCCTATTATTAAAGCCCAAGATTCTGTCTGCATTATGAAGTGTGCTGTCTCCCTGTCCTGCTATATTCAATAGTCTATGCATTACAAACACTCAGTTCTCTGCATCTGCACCCCCTATTTTATGTTGTTTCTGTCTATGTTCTTCCTAGCAAAACCTTGCATTTCTCTGTATTGCACTTCTTTATCCACTAGAATCAAAGCAAAATACTGCAGACGATGAAAATCTGAAAGAAACACAGAATGCCGGAGTAACTCGGCAGGTCTGGTAGCATCTGTGGAGAGAGAAACAGCTGATGTTTCAAGTTTGGTGTGACTTTTTTTTTAGAGCAGTCAGAACTTCTCTACCTATCCATGCACTCCACTGACTTTTGTCCATGTCCTTTTGGAGTTCGGCATTGCACAGTCCTCACAGTTTGCGATGATTCCAAGTTTTGTACAATCCATAAACTTTAAAATTATTCTTTGCACTCCAAGATCTGGATCATGTATATGTATCACAAGAAGGGCACCTGATACTGACCTCTCGGGATCACTGCTTCAACTGTTCCCAGAGATGAGCTGCAATCCAGATTTACTTTTTAACAGATAAACATCTTTTCCTGTGTTTTTGTTTTTGCCAGATTAAATATCATGAAGAATTTGAGAAAAGCAAAGGAACTAGTGCAGCGGCTAGTGAACGAAGGCCCTCGAATGATATTCCTCAGTACAACGTCCAGCATGAGATGCATCAAGGTGAGGTGCAAAATGCGCACGTTTGTGGTAGAAGTCGAGTCAGTCTTCAATTCCAAGTACCACCCCAATAACAATGGCCGGTCATTCTTCTCTGAACGCTCTTTCCCTGCTGTAATTATTGTTTCCTCTTGGTTCTGAATAAGACCATAAGATATAGGAGCAAAATTAGGCCATTCAGCCCATTGAGTCTGCTCTGCCATTCAATCATGGCTGACACTCCATTCTCCTGCCTTTTCTCCGTAACCCTTGATCCCCTTACTAATCAAGAACTAAAACAAATACTCTATGACTTGGCCTCCACAGACCTTTGTGGCAATGAGTTCCACAGATTAACCACCCTCTGACTGAAGAAATTCCCCCTCACAGAACATAGAACAGTACAGCACAGCACAGGCCCTGCGGCCCATGATGATGTGACGACCTATTATCCTACAAAGATCAATCTACCCTGCATACCCTACATTTTACTATGCTCCATGTGCCTATCCAAGAGTCACTTAAAAGTCTCTAAAGTATCTGACTCCACTACCGCTGCCGGTTCTAAAGGGTCTTCCCTTCACTCTGAAGCTGTGCCCTTAGGTCCTGGTCTCTCCTACTAGTGGAAACATCTTCTCCATGTCCAATCTGTCCAGGTCTCTCAGTATTTTGTAAGTTTCAATGAGATTCCCCCCTCATCCTTCTAAACTCCATTGAGTACAGACCCAGGGTCCTCAACTGCTCCTCGAGTGACAAGTCCGTCATCCTGGCATCATTCTTATAAATCTTCTGTGAACCCCCTCCAATAGCAGCACATCCTTCCTTAGATACAGAACCCAAAACTGCCCAAAATATTCCAAATGTGGTCAGACCAAAGTCTTATGCAGCCTCAGCAGTTCTCTGCTCATGTATTCTGGCCCTCTTGAAATGAATGCAAATATTGCATTTGCCTTCCTAACTGCCAACTGAAATTACATGTTAACCTTAAGCGAATCCTGAATGAGGCCTCCTAAGTTCCGGTGTGCTTTAGACTTTCTGAAGCCTTTCCCCATTTAGAAAATAGTCTGTGCCTCTATTCTTACTAGCATAGTGTATAACCTCACACTTTCCCATGTTGTATTCCATCTCCCACTTCTTTGCCCACTCTTCTAGCCTGTCCAAGTCCTTCTGCAGCTTCCCCACTTCCTCAACACTACCTGACCCTCCACCAATCTTTGTGTCATCTGCAAACTTAGTAACAATACCCTCAGTTCCTTTGTCCAAATCATTAATGTATAATGTGAAGAGTTGTGGTTCCAACATTGACGCCTGTGGAATTCCACTAGTCACCAGCTACCATCCTGAAAAAGACTCCTTTGTCCCCACTCTCTGCCTTCTGCCAATCAGCCAATCCCCTATCCATGCCAGCACCTTGCCCCTACCATCCTGGGCTCTTATTTTATTTAGCAGCCTTCTATGCGGGACCTTGTCAAGGGCCTTCTGGAAATCCAAATAGATCGCATCCACTGCCTCTCCTTTGCCTAACTTGCTCAAAACATCCTCAAAGATTTCTAACAGATTTATCAGGCATTACCTCCCATTGGTGAAGCCCATGCTGACTCAACCCTATTTTACTATGCACTTCTAAGTACTCCACAATCTCATTCTTAATAATGGACTCTAAAATAATACCAATGACTGGGGTAAATGTTATGAACAACCAAGGTCAGGCTAACCAGCCTATAATTTCTCATCATCCCTCTCTCCCTCCCTTTTAAACAGGGGTGTTACATTAGCCAGCCATTTTCCAATCCTCTGGGACTCTCTCTGATTCCAGTAATTCCTAAAGATCACCAATGCCTCCACAATCTCATTTATCTTCTTAAGAACTCTGGGATGTAGCCCACCAGGTCCGCATGATTTATTCACCTTCAGAGCTTTCAGCTTCCCCAGCACCACCTCATTAATGATGGCCACTACACACGCCTCTATCCCCTGACTCTCTCTGCTTTCTGGTATGCTAATCTTCTGATTTCTAACATTGACCTCTATGGAGAGCTAATGAGTTTGGGTGGTGAGCAGACAGATGCTTGATGTTGCGCAAACTTGGGGGCAAAAAACATTTCTGGATCATTCTTTCATGTTGAACAGCCTCTTTAAAAGCTAGAGGGAAGGCCCATTTTAAATAATTTGCTTTGAAGCCTTTGCCAAATGAAGGGAGGTTTTCTCAACTTAATCTTGATTTATTTTTACCCTTATCTAGGCTACCAGCAACGTCAGGAGCCCCAGACCCAAGAATACACTCCACCTGCTGCACCTGGTGCTCCACCTCCCTCAACTGGGGTAAGTTTTTAACCTGTTTTGCCCCTCTAACTGTTCTATTGGTAATTTTGTATGAAACTAAAAGAACAAAGTTTCACTTCTATACTGCCGTGCTTATCCTCAGCACCAAAGTTCAGCCCAGCCCATTGATTCCTGTTGTAATGTAAATGCATCAGCCATTTTTTTTTTTACTTGGCAAGATCCCAAGTTTGGTGGTGAGCTTAAAACTGGGGAGTAAGACCCTGTTCTTATTCAAAGTAGTGCTATGCAATCTTCTCTGTCCACCTGTGAAAACAGCCTGAGGCTTGGTTTATTGTCTCAACTGAAGGATAGTGACTTTGAATGTGAAGCACCTCATCAGTGCTGCATTGGAGGTGTTTACCTGTGTTACCAAGTGCACAGATGCAGCAGTGTGTAACCATATGTACCAGCTGTTCTGCAGCAATGGTTGGGACTGCTTCAATAGCACCTGCCAAACTCACAACCACTTCCGCTTAGAAAGGCAAAGTCAGCAGCTATATGTGAACATCAGACCTCTGGGCAAATTCCCCTCTGAGCCCCACACCATCCTGATTTTGGAAATACATTACTGTTCTCTGTGTTACTGGAACTCCCTCCCTAACCGCATTGCTACTCTCCAAGGACTGCAGCAGTCCAAGAAGGAAAGTGTAGTGATTGGAACCAGGTGGATCTTATTGACTATGAAATCCTTGATTGGGTTTGTTAACCTGGGCCAATCAGGGAGCCCTGGCTGACCAATATAAATCAGGCATTTACACACGTAAATAAAGGGTGACTTGGTGAAGAGAAATCAGCCTCTGTGCAGTTATTTCAGAAGTCACTACCACTTTCTCCAGAGAAACTGGGAATTGGCAATGAGTGACAGTCCAGTGAACTACGTTCATGTCCCATGAAAGAGGTAAAAATTCTCCAGTTTCTGAAACGGGACTTGAACCTACAACCTTCAGATTTAAAGGTGAGAGAGTGCTGCCCACCAGACCTGTGGCTGATCCTTTAGAAGTGTGAAGGGTGGTCGTTTATTGAGTGCACCAAGGTTAACTTCAATGGTCGCACTACACGCTGTGGTTCCATACTGAAAGGATGGGATGATCTGGGTGTGTAGATGTAGGAGTTGGGGCCAGTGGGTTGTGCCCTGAGGGCTAGAGAGGATAGTGCTTGTTGATGAGGAGCTAATCCACCCCTTAACGGTCTCTTTTATTCTGCCTTGTTCTGTAGAAGCGTTACAGAGCTGTGTACGACTATGTAGCAGCTGACGATGATGAGATCTCCTTCCTAGATGGCGATTTAATCGTTGATGTACAACAGATTGATGAAGGATGGATGTATGGTACCGTGGAGAGAACAGGCGACACTGGCATGCTCCCAGCTAACTACGTCGAAGCCGTGTAATGGAGCCCAAATCAAATACCTGCTTATGCTTTGATTATATATATTATAAATAAAATAAATTACCGTATGGATCCCAACAGTAACTTGACAAAAATATTAGGTAAAACAAATGTATTAAATTGTGGTTCTGATTATATAACAAATTTTTTCAGTTTCTCTGATCTTAGTATTACTGGAATACAGTCAAAATTTTCTTTGGCTTGTCTATCTCGAAGGAAAACTAGTCATTTTTTGAAAGATTTTCACTGCTCTGTGTTGTCCAACTCTCCCTTTTTTTTTTAGAAAGGTAACCTCACTCCTTCTAGATCCTTAATTTGAAATTCTCAACTGGATTATTGTACTTGATTAATCTGGACAATCTCAGATTATACCTTTTAGTCACATGTATTTTAGTTTCTCGAGAACATTGTCCTGTATTTGCAAATTGCTTAAATAACTCAAATTGTGCAGGACCAAAATACAGGGAGGCAGGAGGAAGAGTGTGAATACTGTTTGTCAAAAATTCTGTTCTGTTCTTCAGCTATAAAGGCCAGAGAGAGAGAGAGATTTGATCAGTGACGGATAGAACCCCCACCCACCCCAATTCACGTGCACACCATACCCACACACCCACCCACCCCACACACTTGTGCAAAGTGGAGACACACGCATTGTGGGTGTATACACTTACTTTCTCATTCTCTCTACCCTCCCTCTCTCCAACTCTCACTCACACACACTCAGTGAGGCACACAGATGAACAGTAAGACTGGATGGTTTTTTTGTATTCTAAATGTCACCTTTCCCCCAATAGCCTACAGAGAATACACGAACATTATTTGACTATGGGCGAAGTATCACCATAAACAGTTCAGTTAGTCATGTAAGTCTTGTAAAACCAGGAATGTCAATGTATTACCTTCCATTAATGCAGACTCTTTTGACTCATGTAAATTTTCAGCTGAGTGAAGCAAGCACTGAAACAGAGTGTCCCTGTGACCATCATTTTTCTCAAAAATGTAAGTGATGCAATGGGCTGAGTCACTGACATCAGAAGATAAATGCCCAGTGGAATTGCAAAGGTGGATGAAATCCTACCTGCTGCCATTCTTGCCCCATTCCTAACCCATCTGTACTATTGTAGCAGTCCTTGCTACATGCAAAGGTTGTGACCCAATTGACTGTACGAGATGAATTTTAGAGCAGGGTAGTGGGTAGAGGAGTGAAGTGAGCTGAAAATGTATTTAAATTTGAAAGTTTGGTAAGTGAGAGCAAAATTCCCCACAAACCTGAGCAGGAGGAGGATTATTTTTTTCCCTGGCAATGTGTTTGCAAGATTAGTGACGTAACTGGTTGCTGCTCAGTCTAGATCCATTCATTTCAAAACTGTGAAACCTGTAAACTCGGCATAACTTGGGAATATTTTTATCCCATTTTAAAGCAGTTTGTGCCATTGAAATAAGAGAAAAACTCTTTTTTTTAAAAAAAAAAAGCTGGAGGTGGAAACAATATTATACAACTTGAGGAGTGATGTAAAGAGAATGGTTACTTTTACTGGAATTAATACACATTCCTTTTCTGAGTCATTATTGTGTTACATGGCAAAATGTGAGGCTTTAGTGAGACTGCGTCCAGTTTAAACCGGTCTGACACAGAAGGAATTGCATGACCAATGTTTTGCTATTCCTGTCAAGTTAAGTTGTGGTGATAATGGGAGGCTGTCTCCAAGCAACTCCCTCTATCGTCTGTGTAACGAGTATCCAGCGGTTATTAGTCTGGGGTCTCTTTGTGCACAATTTCCGTCTCTTATTGAGAGACATGAAGAGAGCAGTAACAGCTGACTGCACCCATGTAAATGCCTCTTATGTGTTATATGAATTTATATGTTACAAGCAAATGCACCAGGAACCCTCTATGATACTGCAGTATGTTTCTTAAAGAAGTGTCATGTCATTAATTTATGAGTTAGCTGTTTTGACTGCAGTTGTGCCAATTAATTGATCGATTCTTGCTGTCGGTGGTAAACATGATGTTGATGGATTAATTAAATCCCTTGGTGCAGATTGTACTGTATCATCTAAAGTTTTGTCTAACAGCTCTCTGCTACTTTGTTCATTAGGAAACTATCCAACATACTTTTCAAGATCATTGTAAATCCCCAGACTGCTTTAAGATGGGGAACTAGTGTATTGAGACTGGTTACAGTAAAATAAAAATGAAACGGTTCTGCTTTACTGAAGAGAATATTGCATTAACAGCCTTCGGTGAAGTGTCAGAATTTAATCTGGTCTGTGCAGCACTTAAACAGACAAACTGGGTAGAGATGGGGAGGGGTTTTCGACTCTAGAAGCAGCAAAAAGCAAACATTGGAACTCTGGCCTGAAATGACCTAGGCTTGAAACAACTGGTTAACTGGTAAAGCTAGTGGGCCACAGAAGATTTGTACATTAGCACAAATGTGTAGACGTTGCTGTGCCAACATTAATGACTCTCTTAACATTCCATGGTATCAGTACATTACCTGCTTAGTCTTAACATGCTATTTAATTTGAAACTTGCTGTTGTTACCGCTAATTAATTGGTTAAAGAAAATTGTGTTCGTTTACACATCATGCTTATCAAGTTCTGCTTAGAGCTTTTGCTAAAGATGTTATTGAGTTACTCATACCTGCAAAAAGACGGCATCTGAAATGACCTTTTGCTTTCTGGGTAGATCTTTTTTAAAGACGAGGCTAAATGCGAAGGGAACAACCATGTTTTGAGCTGTGTTTCACTTGATGTGTGTTGGTTTGTTCAAAAGGCTGGTTAGGATGGATAAGAGAGAGAGTATTCTCTTGTGATCTTCCCCAGCAGTGGTATATGTCTTGGCAGCCCATCCTCCCTCCACAGAACAGCTTGCAAGAAATGGGGTTTGTTCAGCATGAAGGAACACCCTCTATCTGTCTTCAATTGCCTGGACTGAGAGGTTGCCATTGATTTGTGAGGCATTCTGCATCATTGACCAAGTTCAGCATTTTGAAAATGAGTTGTGGCTAGAATTTGGTTGGCTTGGAAATTGAATGATGGATGCAGGCAATGATTAAAAGGTGGTATTACAGATGTATGTATGTAATTTCATAAAAATACTGGATATCTGTGATTCAGATTAAGCATGTCTTTGCATTTCTGAATTCTTCATTACCATGCTTGCAATTTTTAGGAAAAAATGTATTTTTGGCATGATTCTTACATGACAGATTGTCAATAAACTAAATGATGGGAAATAATGTGGGACAATAATGTGGAATTTATTTATTTAGAAATGTGTGGTTTATGGATCTATAAATGTGTGTGAAGTGCATGGAAAATTAATCTGAATAAATCCATCTTTCCTTGGGATGGGAAAAAGAAGAATTTGCATCTCCAAGTGGTTCCCAATTGATGATGTACATTCTTTGAAATGTTATTATTGTTATAATTACAAATTGTGACAATTTGCACACTGTAAGCTCGCATAGACCATGACAGAACTGCCAACTCAACTTTTAGTGATGTTTGTTAAAGGAAATATTGGCCATGACAACATGGAGAGCTCTGTATTCTTTGATATGGGGTCCTTTTATGGTTACAGAGAAGGAATACAGACTCTTTGTTGAACACATCTTCTAGAAAGATTGAGGCATGTTAGAATTAATGAAAAATATATATACACATCTACAAGGTTTGAAGTATTTCAATAGAATCATAGTAACTTGCAAAAATGTTCATCTCTGTCCCATTTGGGGAAAAAAAAATTGGAATTGTACGCTTCTGTCCTTCAAAATTTGGGCAGTGCCAATGTATTCTAAGATATTTTCTAATCAACATGTTCAGTGATGTTATGATACCTCTGGAGCAGGTGGAACTTGAATTTAGGCCTCCTGACTCAGAGGTAGGGACACTGCCACCGTGCTACAACATTCCTTCTAGATATTTTTGGAAATTTTCCTCATCAACCTGTTCAAAGATATTATGACACACCCCTGGAGTAAGTAGGACTTGAACTTGAACTTGGACCTCCTGGTTCAAAGGTAAGAACACTACCACTACATCAGAAGAGCCCTTTTCTAGATATTCCAGTTTTTATATCCAAAGTGTTATTACCCACGACCCCACGGCTTTCCCTACCACCAAATTAAGGTGACTTTATTATTTTTTTTTAAACTACTAACTTCCACCAGCACCAGTAGTGTAGAGAATTTAATATTTACGAGCAAAGTCTGTTTCTAGGTATTCTAAAAAGAGTTTTCTAAATGGTGCATGTTTGTGTTGAGTCGCAATCTGTCAACAGTTTAAGAACATCTTAGGAATTGTGCACAAGAATAGACCTTTAGTTTAGGGCTCTTGTGGTGCAGTGACAGTGACCTTTCCTCTGGCCGAGATGCTCTGGGGTCAAGTCCCACCTACTCTGGAAGTGTCAAAGGACTATCGCAAAGAAGTACAACAGCCTCACAAAATAGAGACAAGGAGCGTATTTTGAACCTGTCCTACCTCTGCCCTAAGCAATATTCAATTAACAGCAATGAGGTGTGACACTTGCCCCTCCTTTCCCTAACCCCATCCCCTGAACTGACTGCAGTGGTTCTAGAAGGCTGCCCACACTACCTTCTCAAGGGCAATAAATTTGGGCCTAGCCAAAAATACCCATATCTCATGAAGAAATAAATAATTTTTAAAATCTGGACTAATTGCCCCTGATAAACAGGTTTCAAGATCTTTTCAGTTCTTATTCTACATGGTGGACAGTTTTTAATTTGAAGGGCTTGCTTCTAGTTATCCACTTTTTTTTTCCTTTCCACTATTCTGATCTGTTCACACTATCCAGCTGAATAATTCAAATTCCTACAGTACAGAATCAGGCCATTTAGCCCATTGAGTCCACACCCACTCCTCTGAAGAGCATCCCACCTGATCCCTGCATTTCCCATGGCTAATCCACATAACCTGCACATCCCTGGACACTATGGGACAATTTAGCATAGCCAATCCACCCTAACCTGCATACTGTTGGACCATGGGAGGAAGCCCACAAGATACAGGGAGAATGTCTCAAAAGGTGGAACTGAACCCGGCTCCCTAGCGCTGTGAGGCAGCAGTGCTAACCATTGAGCCACCGTAGTGACCTATCATAAATTATAGATGCACCACTGAGATCTCCCAATCCATCACTTTAAGGTTGAAAATGTGCCTTTCAGCATTCAGACTTTACCATGGCTACTGGAGCTTGTTCACTAACTGTGGGTGGTTTAATAAACAGTTGTATTTATATTACACCCTTCATGTTCCAGGATGTCTTGAAGCATTTTACAGCCAATAAAAGAAAGAATGCTAGTACTATTTTGCAGGGTCTGGCAGTGTGTGGGAACAGAGAAACTGTTAATATTTCATGTCAATGATTAGGTTCTAATGTAGGTTAATTGAGCTATTATGTGACCTTTCATTCTCACTCCAAAGATGCCATGTGCATTGTCAAGTAGTTGTCAAATACAATAGAAAACAAGGTAGTGATTTGTGTACTGCCAGATCCCACAAACAGTGGTGAAAATGATTGGAATTTTCTCTGCTGTTGGTTGCATGATTAAACATTAGCAGATCACTGGGAGAGACCTTGATTTCAAAATAGATTCCACACACTATTACATCCACTGAGAGAAAGAAAGGGTACCTCTGATTAATGGGTCATTTCAAAAACTGCACTGTTCCTTTTCACAGCACAGTTAGTCAAGTCCACAGTGCTTGCACTATAAGTGTGATTTGTAAAGTAATTTTCCTTAATCCCAAGAAACTGAGTCTACAGCAAAATTGTTTGTAAGTATATATTTTTTTGTGCAATCTTGATTTAAAGAGATTTCACCTAGTTAGTGTGAGTATGGCGTCAGGGATGTGTAGATAGTGAGTGCGGGGGAAATTGAAAATGAATGACAGGAAGCTGCTCAGTGGGTTCACTAGAAAGGTATCTTTGGAATTGTTACAATGAAGAGCTTCACACACGTGGTCATAGTCGTACAACATGGAAACAGACCTTTGAGTCAAACTAGTCCATGCTGACCATGTTTCCAAACCAAACTAGTCCCACTTGCCTGTGTTTGGCCCATAGCCCTCTTAAACCTCTCCTATGTCTTTTAAATGCTGTAACTTTACTTGCATCTATCACTTCCTCTGGATGTTCATTGCACACACAACCCACTCTGTTTTTAAAAAATAAGAGTTGCCCCTCATGCCCTTTTTAAATCTTTCTCCTCTCACCTTCAAAATAAGCTCACTGGTTTTGAATTCCCTCAACCTAGGGAGAAGACCCTTGCTATTCACCTTATCTATGCCCCTCATGATTTTATAAACCTCTGTAAGGTCACTCCCCCAACTTCCTGCATTCTAGTCATAAAAGTCCCAGCCTATCTTTATAACTCAAACTTTCATTCCTGGCAACATCCTGGTAAATCATTTCTGAACCCTCTCCAATTTAATAATATCCTTCCTATAGCAAGGTGACCAGAACTGTACACAATATTCCAGAAGAAGCCTCACCAACATCCTGTACAACTGTAACACCCCAACTGCTACATTCAAAGGTCTGAGCAACAAAGGGAAGCGTGCTAAAGGCCTTCTGAACCACACTGTCGACCTGTGACGCAAACTTCAAAGAATTATGTACCTGAACAGGTCTCTGTTCTACAACACTACCCATGGCCTTACCATTAATTATTTAAGTTTTGTCCTTGTTTGTTTTACCAAAATGCGATACCTTGCATTTACCCAAATTAACCTCCATCTGCCACTCCTCAGCCCATTGACCCAATTGATAAAGAGCTCATTGTAATCTTAGATAACCTTATTCACTGTCCAATATACCACCAATTTTGGTGTCAAATGCAAATTTACTAACCATGTCTCCTATATCCAAATCTTTATATAAATGACAAACAAAAGTGGACTCAGTACTGATCCCTGTGGAACACTGCTGGTCATACATCTCCAGTCCAAAAAATGGCCCTCCACCACCACACACTGTCTCCTACTGTCAAGCAAATTTTGAATCCAATTGGCAAGCTCTCCCTGAATCCACTGTGATCCAACCTTACTAATTAGTTTACTATGTGGAACCTTGTCAAAGGCTTTACTAAAGTCCATGTAAGTAATGTCTACATTTCTGCCCTCAATCTTTTTGGTTACTTCCTCAAAAAACTCGATCAAGTTTGTGAGACACAACTTCCCTTGCACAAAGCCATGTTGACTATCCTTAATCAATCCTTGCCACTCCAAATGCATGTAAATCTTATCTTTAAATAACCTCCAATACTTACCCACCACCGACGTCAGACTCTCAGGTCTTTAGTCCCAGACTTCTTACAGCCTTTCTTAAATAAAGGCACAACATTAGCCACCCTACAGTCCCGTGGCACCTCACCCAAATGCAAATATCTCTGCTAGAGGCCCCGTAATTTCATCCCTAACTTTCCACATCCTCCTTGGTTACACTTGATCAGGTCCTGGAGATTTGTCCACCTTTATGTTTTCTAAGACCTCCAGCACTTCCTCTTCAGTAATGTGAACTGTTTTCAAAGCATCAATATTTATTTCCCTGAGCCTCCATTTCTTTCTCCACAGTAAAAACTGATGTGAAATATTCATTTAGTATCTCTTCCATTTCCTGAGGTTCAACACCGAGATGACCTCATTGATCTTTAAGGGGGCCCATTCTCTCCCTAGTTGCTCTTAATGAATTTATAGAATCTCCTTGGATTATCTTAACCTTATCCGCCAAGCCTATCTCATATCCCCTTTTTACCCTCCTGATTTCCCTCTTAAGAATTTCTCTGCTCCTTTTATACTCTTCAAAAGATTCATCTGATCCGAGTTGTTTATATCTAATATATAATTCTTCATAATTCTTGACCAGAACCTTGGATGTAGGTGCTGATGGTACTACTGGACAAGTCAGATCCCAGAATGAAACCTGGCTTGATAGATCGTATGTTAATTTTTAAAGTTTCATTATTGTGGTGGTTAATCACTGTGTGGCTTGAGACTGCAGATTTTCTTTAACATTGAACAAAGTTTCTAACGCACTTGTTTTCAAACAGGCTATTTAAATATCAACAGCTGTTAGAATGATCTTCTAAAACATAGCAAAACTCACCCCTTGTGTCTTCTGAACTAAATTAAACTAACTTGCTTAATCCTAGATTCTTTTGGAACTGAAAACAAATTGTTTATCCTTCCCGTCATAAACCTGATAGTGTAAACATCTTTCCATTAAAGCCACAGGGGTCTGCAGTTACACATTTAACAAATGCTGGATTAGATCTGGAAAGAGTCCCTGACTTTTTGTTTTGAAGAAACCACTGCAGAATTAATCAATGCTCATCTACCTCTGTTTTGAAATCCAAATTCCGGAAAGGATATGTTATAACCTTTGGTCACAAAATGGTGTGCTGCCAAACCTACTATGTTGGTAGCTGCAGATCAATAGAATATATTGAATTCAATAGTAAATCTGTTAATGTGATAACATTATCCTTTGTAAGCGAGTCTATCTTGATGAAAGACAACCAGTTAGCTTCAGTACACTAGGTTTAAGAAAGAGGAGTGAAACATCTTTGAGGCTGTTCTTGATCGCTATTCAGTGATACCAGTTGGAAGGTGATTGCGTGAACGTACAGTGAACTTTCAGTGACCCCTCTTACTGATGTAAATTATCTGAAATTGGAAGGGTTGGCACTGTGCATTATATAAATTTGACAGTGTTAGCATGTATGGTATAGGAACTTGAGTGTTAACCTCTGAACTCGGAAATGTTGCTAAATGGATGAATTACGATTAGCCAAATCGTCTTCCTCATCTGTAAAATAAGACAAGCTTATATTTTTGAGTCCTAAATAGAAGAAATACAATTTCTTTGGAGAATAACCTGAATAAATGATCACATTAGACATCTACTTGTGTCATTTTCTGCTCTCAGTTTTGTACGTCTGTAATTTTTTTCCCCATTTTCCCCTAAATCCATTCCCCTCCTCAGCTGAAGCTGTTGACTCTTGTTGAGATTTAATTCCTCTGAAGCTGCCAGGTCTCCAGTTCTACAGAACATTTCTGTGTTTTGAGATACTGAGAGGCTGTTTGGTTCTGGGGACATCAGCAAAACAACAAGTTGCATTTATGTAGCACCTTTAACACGGTAAAATGCCTTGAGTAGGACAATCAGACAGGCACTGGCAGTGAGGCAAGGAAGAAAATGTCACACTATGAGATGAAAGAGATGGTAAGGTTTAGGGGAGGGAGCTTCTGAGTTTGGATTTTATATGGGCACAGCTGGAACCGAACTGTATCGTCATCTCTGACAATACTTTGATAGATTTTTGTTGCAGTTTTTTGTTTCTGGTGAGTGTTTTGATTTTAGTTCTATTACAGTCTAACTTATTAAGGCTTTTTTTTGAACAAGTAGAGTCTAAATGGCTGAAGGCAATGCCAGAACTAAGTAAGCCTGAATTCACGCAGGATTACAGTTGGAATAATTCGGAACCAGTATGTTCTGTATCCTGCCTACATCCCTCCCCTTGTTCTTTGGAAGTCCACTGGGATTGGGAATGTGTTGCTTCCAATCCAGGCCAGTGGGTTCTAAGATGGCTGTTAAGTTCAACATAAGGGCAGGCTGGTTTGCAATGCAGAGTGACGCTAACAGTGGCAGATTGAGGTTCCACACTGGCTGAGGTTATCATGAAGGTCCCTCTTTCTTAACTTGCCTTCAGTCTTCTGGAGTGACCCTCTGGTTAAACCACCATCAGTTGTCTCTCTCTCTCGCTCTCTCTCTGATGAGAGAGCAGCCCTGTGATTCTGTTGTCTTATGGCAGGGGCGTGAGGTGCAGCCTCCCGGGAATGTGAGAAATACCTACATGGACAGTACATGCACTCTTGAAAGATGTCTCTGGGGACTCTGGTAACTTTACCTAGGTTGAAGGTACAGACTCTGATATATCTGAGATTGGTGCTGCTGCTGGAACTGGGCGAGGGATTGTTTGAATGTCGGTGCACATTTTCTGAGGCCTCGGCTTTGCCTCTGCTCCTGACAAAGTCTCTTGTGTTTGATGCCTTCCTGAATGAACCTTCTCCAGTTTGATTAGTCAAGAGCCCAAGATCTCCCACTGCTGGAGCCAGAACAGAGAACTGCCCTGGAGTTTCCGGGAGTGTCCCGGGTTGGAAGCACCCATAACACAGGCCATCCTGTACTCTGGAACCTTGCTAATAACACATGCAAATGTGTGCAATCTACCTCCTGCCTCACTCTGTAATTCACCAGATTTGTCTGCATTCACGCCACACTCCCATACAAAGGTGTTGCTTCATTTGGTTTTAGGGAGTCAGTTAGTATGGTCAGTGGGATGTTTGTTATCCAAGGGAACTACCTGATAGAGGTTTATAAAATCATGAAAGGCATGAATAGGGTATGTAGACAAGGTTTTTTTCCCTGGGGTGGGTAAGTCCAAAACTAGAGGGTATAGGTTTAATGTGGGTGGAGAAAGATTTAAAAGGGACCTAAGGGGCAAGTTTTTCATGCAGAGGGCGCTGTGTGTATAGAATGAGGTGCCAGAATCATAGAATCATAGAGATGTACACACTGAAACAGACCTTTTGGTCCAACTCATCCATGTTGACTAGAGGAAGTGGTGGATGCTGGCAAGATTACAATATTTAAAAGGTATCTGGATGGGTATATGAATAGGAAGGGTTTAGAGGGATAAGGGCCAAATGCTGGCAAATGGGATTGGATTAATTTAAGATATCTGGTCGGAATGGACATCTCCATGACTCTACGAATGCTTTGAGGACATCCTTGAAGAGTGCATATACTTGGTTGCGAATTTGGGTATAGTATTTGTGGATTGGGAAGCAGGACATTAGAATTTGGTGTTTGTAAAATGCTGGGGGCGAGGGGTGAAGCATTGCGTGGTCCCTTTAAAAGATTGTACTTTTTCTATACTTGGAGACATCTGTGAGCAGCTTGAAAGTTTGCAAGTACAGAGAGCACAAATTGAAACATTTGTATTGAAAGGCCATACTGTTAGCAGGTCAAGCAGCATTTTCACTAAGACAACGGGTTTTTGAATTTAGCCAATCAATTTGAACCAAGCACTTAGAAACCAAAAAACGATCAAATTTGAATCTGATGGTTTTGACAACCTAGCGTCAATCCGATTATAAAAATTTGATGTGTCATCGGGGGTATAAACGAAGGGGCAGTTGGAAAATTGGCAGAGCTGACTGCTATCTCATAGAGATAATAGCTCTCAGCTCTGAGAGAAAGCACCATCTATTCACAATGATACCATGGCATTCCTAGCTAAGATTCCTGACAGAAGAATTCACAGAGAAAGCATTCCTGACAGACGAATTGATGGAGAAGACAGAAAACATTGTGGAAGATGTAACCTGGCTGTAATTTTGAGAGACTAAATTCTATTGTTTTGTTAAGTAAGTGGGACTCATATTTATTGGAACAGCATACCATTAGAATCTTGCGATTTTCAGAAACAGTAGTTAGAAGGGATTTTGTTCTCTTTGTTAATAGTTTAGTTACTTTGTTCACTTTTAGAGTTAGATAAATAAATTGTTACTTGATGCTTGTAAAGTTGAGTGTCAGGGATTTATTTGATTTAACTACTAGAAGTTGCTGAAAGACAGGTTACACCCCTCTTCACACTCCTTTGGCAGATTTTCGGGTGAGGTGCTCCTCTTCGGATGTTTTGATTTTAGTTCTCAGAGGGAGGTCAACCTCCACTTATAACAACCACTATGTACATATGGAGTCATAGAGTAGAGTAATGTAGCGTGGAAGTAGGCCCTTTGGCTCAAACTGGTCGATGCTGACCATGGTGCCCACTCAGCTAGTTCCAATTGCCTGCATTTGGTCCATATCCCTCTAAACCCTTCCCATCCATGTACCTATACAATTTTTTTTTTAAATGTTGCAATTGTACCTGACTCAACCACTTTCTCTGGCAGCCTATTCCATATATGCACCACTCTCTGTGTGAAGAAGTTGCCCCTCTGGTCTCTCTTAAATCTTTCCTCTCTCACCTTAAACCTATGCCCTCTAGTTTTTAATTCCTCATCCCTGAGAAAAAGACTTATAAGCATACATCCTAGCTATGCCCCAGAGATAGTAGGAACTGCAGATGCTGGAGAAACTGAGATAACAAGGTGTAGAGCTGGATGAACACAGCAGGCCAAGCAGCATCAGAGGAGCAGGAAGGCTGACGTTTCCGGCCTACAGCCAAAACGCCAGCCTTTCTATGCCCCTCTTGATTTTATACACCTCAATAAGGTCACCCCTCATTCTCCTACATTCCAAGGAATAAAGTCCTATCCTGGCCAACCTCTCCCCATAACTCAGGCTTACTTGTCCTGGCAACATCCTCGTAAATCTTCTTTGCACACTTTCCAGTTTAACTATGTCCTTCTTACAACAGGGTGACCAGAACTGTACACAATACTCCAAGTGCAGCCTCACCAAAGAAGGTGTTTCCCAGGTTCCAGGGATATTCCCACATGCCCCTGCTCTGAGAGGATACGAATTGACAGTGACAGATTTCCTCAATGGAACCATTTCTGAATGCACTACCCTCAGACTGCACTTGGCGTCTCACTTTCTGCACTAACCCCCGCCTTCACTCTCTTTCTGTGACACTGCTGTAATCTGAGAAATCGAGTCCTGTTTGGAAGGCAGTATATATCAGGGTCCTCTCTGCTTCCTTTTCAGTCTGTTTCGCAATGTTGGACATCTTCCTGCTGATGTTTTTCGCCATTGTGAGTTTAGTGATTCTGTCCTACATCATCTATGTTCTGTAAGGAGATGGAAGCACCAGCAGCACCAACAATAACCGGGCGCTTTCAGAAAGCTGCAAGGCGGAGCCTCTTGGAACCATGAGCCATGGCTGGCATTGCGTTTTTCCTCAGGTTTGCACACGGCATTATTCCTGAAAACAATCATTTCTGCAATTTTTTTTAAACATCTTCCACTGGGTGGGTTCAAAGAAAAATTTCTGGAATTGCAATTCCCTTCTGTCGAGTTGCAAATTTCCAAAACAAAAAATCCTATAGCTTACGTCTCTTTTTTTTTGGTTGGGTTTTATTTATTTAGATTTTACCTGAAAGACTGTCCGGAGATGTCACCGGGTTTCTTTTGTCCCATGTTTTGTTGAGATCTAGGTTTCACCCGGAAATGCTGATTGACGGTTTATGGAACTAATTGAAAACGCAGAGATGTTGTCGATTCTAATAGTGCTGTGTCAGTCCCGGTCTAATCTGTAGCTGAGAGGTTGGATTCGAGACCTAATGCATTAAATAGTTTGGGAAATGTCTTATGGATTTAAAGAAAAAAGCGACTAGCCTGCCCTGGAATCTCCTAATTCCCATTAATCCCCAGCTGTCTTGTTCCAGGAGGTATATCTGGCCAATTTATTTTTCTGTCTCAAGTACATCTTTGGATTTTGCACACATGATGGACCCCTGCCACTTACTGTTTCTTTCAAACCACCAAGTTTGCCTCTTCCCCCTTAACCATTCTGTTAACTGCTTTACGAGCTTGTGTATAACATCAATCTGCAGATGGTTGCCATACCCATTTAGTTCCAGGTTTTAGTTTAAACTCGACTATCTGCCGTGGTGGGATTCAAACCCATATCTCCAGAACATTAGCCTCTGGATTACTAGTCCAAAGACATTGCCATAGTGCTGTGACCTGGCTGTGTTAGTGTTTAGTGCTAGCTTATGGCTTTCCTCTGTTGAAAGATTCTCAGCTCAAGTCTCATTCCAGAGTCTGAAGCACCAAGCCTAGGGTCAGGTCTCAACTTCTTATGAGACTTGGTATCATGATTTGTTTAATTAGTATCCCATGAAGTGCCTTGAGCTATTTAAAGGTGCTTTACAAAAGCAAATGTTTGCTTTAATGATGGCTCCACATTCAAACAGTCTCTGGACATGCACTTGACTCACACAGATAACGCCTGCATATGGCAGACCACAGTCTCCTGCAGGACTGAATCCCACTTGTGAACTGGATAAATGCGAGTGGTTTCATCAGTTATAGAACAGAAAGAACAAAGAAAATTACAGCACAGGAACAGGCTCTTCGGCCCTCCAAGCTTGCGTCGATCCAGATCCTCTATCTAAACCTTTCACCTATTTTCCAAGGATCTGCTCCCTGCCCATTCATGTATCTGTCTAGATACATGTTAAATGACGCTATTGTGCCCGCCTCTACCACCTCCGCTGGCAACGCATTCCAGACACCCACCACCCTCTGCATAAAGAACTTTCCACACATATCTCCCTTAATCTTTTCCCCTCTCACCTTGAAATCGTGACCCCTAGTAATTGAATCCCCCACTCTGGGAAAAAGTTTCTTGCTATCCACCCTGTCTATACCTGTCATGATTTTGTAGACCTCAATCAGGTCCCCCCTCAACCTCCGTCTTTCTAATGTAAATAATCCTAATCTACTCAACCTCTCTTCATAGCTAGCGCCCTCCATGTATGAATATTTTACTTGAAGAATTTTAAGATTAAATATTACTTGGTTATCTTACCTCCCCCACCCCCACTCCCCCGCCCCGCAGGGCAAACCTGATTGCTAAACTGCAAAGATTAATATGTCTACTGTAGCAGCATGGTGGCTCAGTGGTTAGCCCTGCTGACTTTCAGCGGCAGGGACCCGGGTTTGATTCCACCCTCAGGTGACAGTCTGTGTACACGTTCTCCCTGAGTCTGTGCGAGTTTGCCTCGGTTTCCTCCCATAGTCCAAAGATGTGCAGGTTAGGTGAGTTGGTTATGTTAAATTGCCCCATAGTGTCCAGGGATGTGTAGGTTAGGTGGATTAGCCATGGGAAGTGCAGGGTGATGGGGTGGGTCTGGGAGGGATACTCTTTGGAGGGTTGGTGTAGACTTGATGGGCCAAATGGCCTGCTCCCACACTGTAGGGATTCTATACTATTTTCTCTTAGGACCATAATGGAATGTTCCAGAAGTAGTTGCATATACTTTACACAATTGCCTTTGTGCTTTTTGACATGCAACAAAACTTTTCTTCTTACAGTTGGCCCTCAGCAGTAATGAGGGATCCCCATGTTGGACTGTTAAGACCGTTTTTCTTGGATTCATCTCCTCAGTGGGACGGTGTAGAATCCTAATGAACGGAGGCACCTGCTGAGCTACATCGAGTCACCGTCACAAAGATTGATAGGTACCTAGAGTTTTCCTGAAACAAACACCATCCATCCCAGTTTTGTTTCCAGAAGATCTCAAGATGTTGGCAGATGAACACTCCTGGCCATTGTGTTGGACCATGCCTTCGGGTCGGAAATTAAAACTGTTGAAATATGGAACCATGTGTATCTCTTTTGGGTTGGTCAGCTGTGTATTCTGTCAGTAGATTAGGAAGTGATGTCTGTTCAGTTCAAGGTGGTTTTCAGATACTTCACGTTGCACATCTGTAGACATGAGCTCAGCATCTTCAAACCTGCATTAATTATGTGTACACTAGGTACCGTGCTGTGGCCTGACTATTCGCAAAGAGAAAGTTAGATTAAGATAGCGGCAGGCAGACAGCGAATCTGTTGTACTTTATGCTTGTTTATCTAATAATTCAGAATTGAGACTGTGAAGATATTTTTAATCAAAAGCAGAATATTGCAAATGCTGGATATGTAAAATAGGAATGTGCAATAAGAAAGAAACAGTTAGCTTTTCACGTTGTGTTCACCTTTCATCACAATTGGAAGAAGGTTATAAATGACAGGTGGAGGGCAGGAATGATGAAGTGATAAGGGAGCAAAAGGCAAATGGAAAAAGTGAAGAAACGAAAGATGGTGCATGGGATGCACATAATGTAGGGCCCTTTGCACAGTTTGTTATATTTCACTGCAACCACACACACACTGTCCCCAGCAGCATTTCAAACCTACTCCTGTTAGTGAAATCTCTTCCCCTGCACCCTACTGTTCTGCTTTGGTTTTGGAACTTGGTAAATATATGCTTATTTTAAAGTAACTCATACATAACATTGTAAAGAATTTAAACTTCATTATCTGTCATGGTAGGATTTGAACCCACAACACTAGCCTGTAGTTCTAGATTATAAGTCCAATGATATTGGCACTGTGCCATCATCTCGCTCTGTTATATCTAGTGCCAGCTTCCAATTGAATTGTGCTATTGTTATGGGACAGTGCTTCCTATTGAAACTGCAAATGTGGCCCAGCTACCCAGCACTCAGACCCTCGCTTTGATTGCCTGGTAGAGCAGACTAACAACAAAATTTAAACACAGTGCTAAATAAAACTGAGCTATTGTGGAAATCAGTGAGAGAGCTGGGGCATTGATTTTCAATCACGAAAGTGCAGAAGGTGGCCATTTGGCCTATTGTGCCCGCACAAGCTCATTAAATGAGCATCCCCATTACCTAGTGCCAATCTCCTGCTTTTTCCCCATAAACTTGCACGTTATTTTTATCCAAATTGGGTCTTCTAAGCAATCTACAGATTTCTGCAGTTATCAAGTTATGTATCAACCTAGTCTTGCGAAGTAAATAGAAATTGTAGCTGGAATTAAATGCCCTCCTCTGTGGCAAGACTAATGGCGGTGTAGCAATTAATTGATTGGGAGGATGGTGGGTAGGGGCCTCACTGCCTTTCAGCCTCTGCCCTGATTAAGTTTGGTGAAGATGTGTGGATTCTGTCTCAGTGCTAATTGAGACCCTTAAGTGGGCAATTAACTCCCATTTAAGGGCTTTATTCCCGTACCACTGGTAATGTGTGTTTTGGGATAGTTTGCTAGCATTAGAGGAATCTTAATGTATAGAGGCTTTTATCTTAACTGCAATGGAGTATATTGCTTGTAAGAAATCAGCTACAAATTACATTCATAAGATAGACATTCTCACTGAAACTGTGAGGTGACCTAATATGATAGGTCTTAATGCCATGTTCTTATTTCATTCAATATTTCCACCACCAGGAAAAACACCCATGTGACCAGGGAACCAATAACAAGCAGAGCCTGACAGGGGCAATGCTTCCATGAAAAAAGTGAACGGTAGGGCAGGGATTAAATTAAAATAAAGCACTCCACCCGCTTCGATGTCCACCTGTCACTGAAGGCATGGAAAGCAATGATGGTCGTCATGTGCTCCCTCTCTAAGGACACCCGGGCTCGAACATAGTCACTGACACCATTGTTGTTCTTAGTGGTTCTGCCTTATCCCCGCCCAACTCAGTAAAACATTGTCAGGTTGTGTGCAGCCTTCAACATTAACCCTTTCAGAACCATTGCCTTATTCAACATGAATTCCCCCCCTCCCTCCCCAAGCTTTTACCCCACAGTTAATATTTAGATAATCATATATATAGTACATTGACACAACCCTGTCTCCCCCTGACTCTCTGACATAATATAGTCTGGATGTTTTGCAATTCTTCTAGAACAGAACGCCTCTGGTAGGCCTCTGTTGATCTTGAGTCGGTCCTTGACTCTGTGTGGTCTGTTAAAATTTCTCTACCCTGGAGGACCTTCCATCTCTTGAAAGGACATCCTTCTAGACCAGGTGGTCTGTTAGCTTGTCAGGCGACCCTTCATCTCCTGAATCACAATCATGTGGTTGCCCCATAACATCATCTGAGGGACCTTTAACCTCATTAGTTCTCTTCATGTTAACCAGCTGCTTTGTGGAAACAGACACTTCTATATGACATAACAAGGTGTAGAGCTGGATGAACACAGCAGGCCAAGCAGCATCATAGGAGCACTATCTCTGATACTTCTATATGACAGTATCCCGGATCTCTGTGCCTGGTAGTATTTTCTAGACCATACCCTGAATGTGTGGATATCAGTTATCCCATCCCAGAGTTGATTTCCATGGAATTATATGCAGCTCATCTTCAATCTGTGAAAATAAATCTTTATTATCAATTTGCTGACACATCTGTGTTGAAGTGTGTCATTTCCACTTTGCAGCATATAGATTAAGTTGCATGTCTTCAGTCTTCTGTGGTTCTCTCACTAATTAACCAAACATTTACATCCTTGGTTGTGCTATTGAGGATGCTGATGATGTAGCTCTGTCATTAATATTGATAATTCTTCTTTGGAAGATAAAGAATTGAAATATTAGCTTTGAACTTGTGTCATTTCATCACTGACATCAAATTCAAACCTTCTGTGCTAGTTTGTTCACCAGGGTTTGCTTGTCCCTGAAAAATTTCAGTTAAAGAATTATCATTGAGCTCAGGTGGGTCATACTGCTAATATTTTTTTCCCCTTGTTTGCATTTTCTCACAAACTTTGCTGCTTTTTTTCATCGGAATCCAGTTCAGTGATTATAAGAATGGAAATCATTTCTGCCAATCCTCTGTATTTGCATATTTCTATTCTGTTGACAGTATGATTGTGCCATATCAGTAATTTCATTGGTTCTGACTTCAACTTGGGTTCTGCCATCGGTCCAAAACATCCAGTAAAATCTCCAGCAGATGTTCAACAACTCTATATTCATGAACCAGCTGTTCTACCATAGAGACAAACATGTGAATTAGGAACAGAAGTAGTTCATTCAGCCTCTTAACCCTGCTCTCCATCACAATTGTGGTCTGCTTTGAATTCTCTGAGCATGGACAGACTTGGCATAACCTGATCTCTCTTGACCTGGTTTGCTATTCATTGAATTGAATCATTTGTTGTCACATGTATTCAATATAAAATACAGTGGAAAGTGTGTACAGTCGCCGTACAAGGGCGCCATTCACATTAGTTTAGAATAAAATAAAGATAACTTAAAGAGAGTCCAACTTTTCCTTCCCTGCTGCTACAGACCAGCTCTGGGCTATGCCAGCCCCCACCTTGCTACCGCCAGAGTCCTGCCCAGGGCTTCCCAGCCCACGCCATCCCACTGCCAGGGGCCCACTCCACACGGAAGTGAGTGTCCCACTCCAGGCTTCCCAGGGCAACCGACCGACTCTATAACCACGCTGCCTCTGAAAGTACCACCGCTCCGGATCCCATCGAAGCTACTGAAGAGCTCTCTTCATCAGGTAGCTTGAGAAAAAAGAAAGGGAAGAAGGAAAAAGAAAAAGGAAAGAAAAGCAGACAAAGAGGATGAGCCTGGGCACAAGACTCCGGATGCTGTCTACTCCACCACTGCCTTTGTAACCAGTTGTAATGCTGCCACTTCAAGAAGGTTGAGATCAAGAAGTGCATACATGTCCAAGAGTGACGTTTCTTGATTATGAATTATGTGCACATTCGCTACCTTCTTACATCTGTTGGATTGCAGTGTTGCCTATAGCAATCCTTTAATCTTGAGTGCAGTTTCACCGTACTATGTAGTTACATCTGTGTAGGCTGTAACCTCTATTTCTTCACCCATGGTCTGATAAGTCAGCGACATTTGCCCCTTGTTATCTTTTCTAATGTTGGTGACTTTACTGCATTAACATCTTTGTGTGTGTGTGTGTGTGTGTGTGTGTGGCCATTTGACTTTTTGCTGCCTTGTAACTGTTTTACACATTTTCTGGAAGTGACCTACCATTTTTCAAACATAGGATCGCCAATGAGGCTTTCTCATTCCACAACATTGAATTAGTATCTGTTGTCTGACCTACTCCTTGTGTTGCCTTGTGTGTGTCTTTACAGGTTTTATACCTTATAATCTTAAGAAATTCTGCCACTCTCCTGTGATAAATTTGTCCTTTTCCTCTCAGAATTTCTCTTGTTTCTTCCTGGTTTCTGTTTCCAGCACAATCTAAATAGCTTTCTCCAAAGTCAGATCTTCTTTGGTCAATTCTGTGTCTTAAGAATTCTGATTTCAAAGCTCCATAGTTACAGTTTATCACTAATCTGCAGAGATCATTAATGCAGTTATCCATGGATTCTACTGAATGCTGAACCCTACTGTTAAATATTGTTGTTTCAAGAATTTTATGTTTTCATATTTTAAACTGTCATTGAAAGTCTGTAGAACTTCATCAAAAGGATCTGGGACTTGTTTTGAGCAGGTTTAACATAGAATCATTCAGTCATACAACACAGAAACAGACCTTTTGGTTCAACTCGTCCATGCCAACCAGACATCCCAATCTGACCTTGTCCCATCTGCCAGCATTTGGCCCATATCCCCCAAATCCTTCCTATTCATATATCCATCCAGATGCCTTTTAAATGCTGTAATTGTAAACATTGCCACCACTTCCTTTGGCAGCTCTTTCCATACACACACTGCTTTCTGTGTGAAAAAGTTGCCCCTCAGATCCCACTTAAATCTTTCCCCTCTCACCTTAAACCTATGCCCTCTAGGTTTGGACTCCCCTACTGTAGGAAAATCATCAGG